TGTGTGTGTGTGTGTGTGTGTGTGTGTGTGTGTGTGTGTGTGTGTGTGATATTTGAAGGAAAAGATTCTGCTAAGAACTTTAGGGTTGTAAGAATTGACAAACTGCACAAAGTCAAACCTGCAGTGAGTACTCATCATTATATAGTCTTAAAAATTTAAACTTATTTTATTTATGTGTTTGTGTGCCCGCTTGTCTGTGTGTGCACCACATGTGTGCAGGTACCCAGAGAATCCAGAAGTCGAGTTAGAACCACTGGAAGTAGAGGTACAAGTGGTTGTGAGCCATTCGGGTACTGGGAACCAAACCCAGGCCCTCTGAAAGATTGGCAAGTGCTCTTAACCACCGGGCCATCTTCTCAACCCCTTATTAAATCTCAAATAAAAATAAACTAGTTTGGAAAATATTCTTGCTGGACAAATGGGAAAGTTCTTTCCTTAAGATAAATTTCAAGCTGTCTGAAGCATGGAGGAATGGGCTTTGTACAGAGTGGGCCAGAAAGGATCAGATTTAATTTGAAAGTCTTCCATTGTTGCCTACAACACTAAACATTAAGGACTGTGTTATCTACTCCCCAGTGTTTTCTGTTCAACATGAAAGGACACCAAGTAGGGTTTGTCTGTTACGTTTTCTTCACTTTTTTCTGATTTCCAGTCTCCATGGGTCCCGTGGTGTTCTGTCTGTCTGCCTGTAGTAAAGCTACCTCATGGTTTGCAATGGCAGGGGCATGAGTCAGGGGTAAGGATTTACAGTGGCTTTCACTGCTCCACAGGGCTTACACGGTCCATTTGCCTAGGACCTATTTAACTGTGCACTTCAGTTGATAGAGCCGGTCAGCTGGTGTGTGTGTGTGTGTGTGTGTGTGTGTGTGTGTGTGTGTGTGTGTGTGTGTGTAAGAGAGAGAGAGAGACAGAGAGACAGAGAGAGGAGGGGGAGGGAGAGAGCACAAGTACTCCGATCTGTCTAATCCCATCTCAAAGGCCTACTGGATACCTATTGCCTCTGGCACGCATGAACCCTGGTACAATTTAGACAGAGACATTTCCATGTATCTCCGAATATCTATCTTTGAAGATTGACTTAACTTTTTTGTTTTATTTTGTTTTTTCAAGACAAGGTTTCTCTGTGTAACAGCCCTGGCTGTCCTGGAACTCTAATTGTACACTGGGCTGGCCTCAAACTCACAGAGATCCACCTGCCTCTCCCTCGGGAATGCTGGGATCGAAGGTGTGTGCCACCACTGCCTGGTACTTAAAATTGTTTTGAGAGGCAAGATTTTGTAGAAATTAGGCAATCTACAAAAATCTAAAAACTTTAGAGATCCTTCACCACGCTATTGCTTGGAGTTAATATTTTTGGTAGATGTTAGTTATAGGCATGATGGGTGAAGGGTTGGACTTTATAAAACAGGATTTCGTTATATTATTTTATTTACAATATATGGTGAACTTTAAAAAACCTGAAGACAGAGGTCTGGAGAGATGGCTGTGGTTAAGAGCATGCACTGCTCTTGCAGAGGACTCAGTTTCAGGCACCCATACTGAGTGCTCACAACTGCCTGTAATTCCAGCTCAGGGCATCTGACGCCGCCCTCTCTGGGACTCGCCACCAGCACCCATGCGCATACCCGCACACACATACATATGATTAAAAAGAAGAAAAACAAATCTTAAACCAGAAGACATTTTTTTCCCCTATAAGGGATTTTAATCACAAGTTGGAAGACTCCCGAGTCAGTGTGCTTGTATTTGGAGCTGGGTTCTCCCAGTTCCCAGCTGTAGGATCCTGGAAAACGTGTAGAAGCTTAGTTTCCATGTCTGTAATATGGGGGTGATGACAGTACCTCCCACTCTCCCTGTTTTGAAGAGGATAGAATGAATTAATATAGGTGAGGTGTTTCAGGATATAATGTGTGGTATATATAAGTATTACGATGACCTCTTTTCAAAAAAGAGAATGACGGCTAAATGCTAAGCAGTTTTTTATTGCTATCTGGCTATGAAAAGGGTTGGCCCTCATCAAGGAAACTTCTCTATGCAATAGATGTAGACCAGTACAGAAAACCACAACCAATCGATATGCAGAGTTGTGGAGCCCAGCCCCAATGGATACACATCTGCAATACTCCTGCGCCCAAGGCTTAGGGAACATTGTAAAGGGAAAGTGGTGGAGGAAAGATTTCAAAAGCCAGAGAATCATGGAGTTTGCCATGAGATTGTGTCTCCTAGTAATTTCAGAAGCTACACCCATAAATTCTCACCAACATGACTGCCCAAACATGAGCATTCTGGGTCAGCATTACAGTGGTTTTTGGTCCCCAAGTGCCTGCCTCCTTTGATTCTTTGGATGAATCTCGCCTACTGTCAATTCTTTTAAACAAGGGGGGGGGGGGTGAATGGCTAATCATTCCTTGTGTCCAGAGAGAATCTTTCTTTTATCTTTTTTTTTCTCAAAGGATATCATGGCTGGCTCTAAAATCCTTGCATCACAATTTCTATTAAAACTCTAGTAACTTTCTTGGTAACTTTAAGTTATTGTGGAGAAGTTTGAGGTCAGTATAAAAAAAGCTTTTAACAGCTTTCTTCTTTTTCTGCTTAGATGTTATAGCTTCTGGGTTATCAAGGAGTCTTGTGACTTTACTAAGATGTCTCATTGTTGAATGAATAGCCTATACCATTTTGTTTCAGGACAAGTAGGGACCTTATTCTAAAAGTGATTTCACTTATATTGGATAGATCAGTGAAAATCAGCTCAGCCTTCTACTCATCTTCACATGTCTACCCCAGTTCCCCTCACACGAGGTAACTAGCTTTACAAGTGTCTTGTCTATCTTTGTAGACATTCTACAGACATAGAATCACATTTGTGCGTGTTTACTTTTTATGTCTGATGGCACATCATTCTTACTCATCTGCATTTCACTTTTCTTGATATTAGACCATCCAATATCTGCCTTTTGAAAATATTTTATTTTTAATTATGTGTCTGTGTGCATCTATGTGGGGATATGTGTATATGAGAAAAGGTAACGTTAGGTGCTGCATCTCTCAGAACTGGAGCTACAGGCAGTTCTAAGCTACCTGATGTGAGTGTTGGGAAGTGAACCTCAGCCCTCTGGAAGTATAGCAGGTGCTCTTAACTGCTGAGCTATTCTCTAGTCCCTGCCTCCTCTAAAAAAAAGAAGCTTCATTTTATATCATTTTATAATCCTGCTATCATTTACTCAATCAACCCCTCAAGGTTATTGACCCCTAAATGTTTGCCCTCAAAAGCAGTGGTCAGATGAATACTCTGGTCCCTTGCATGTGTGCCATCTTGTATCTTGGGTCTGTAGAAATCCCTAAGCATGGAATTACTACATCAAAGGGCATCTTGAGATTGGCATATTGCCTTCCACTGCACACTGCCCAACATCACCACACGGGGAGAGTGTGTCCCTGCCTAAGCTAAGTGCTTTCCACCTTTTGCTCTTTGCTAACCTGACAGGTTTATTGTATGGCTCTGTATGCCTCTGTTCACTTCAATATGAGCAAAGCAGAACCTGCTTTTGTGTGTTCGAGAGTCATTTTGGTTTCCTTCTGTGAACTCAACTCTCTTCTTCTGACTTTCTGTTGGGCTGTAGTTCTTTTTCTTGTTGATTCATGGAAGTTCTCTATTTTTAATAAATTTGAATTTTTTATTAAGGCTATATGAATAAGTAATATAAAAACTGAAAATGTGCTACTAGGAACAGGAGCTCTTGACCCATTCTGCTCTCCCCACCACTAACAGGCCATCATTTTAAAATCTTTTTAAAAATAGTTATTCATTTATTTGTGTGTTTGTGTGTGTATGCATGTGTGTGTGTCTGCCGAGTTTCTGAGTACCACATGTGTATGGGAACCCACAAAGGCCAGATGATGATATCAGGTCCCCTGGAACTGGACTTATATAGGTTATGAGCCACCATATTAATGCTGGGAACTGGATATAGGTCCTCTGCAAGAGTAGTCAGTGATCTTAACCATGGAACTACCTCTTCAGCCTTCCATTTCTTAATTCTTGTCATGGAGTTGGTACATGGTACAGTTTTCTTGGGCCAAGAGGGGATGAATAGGCAATGCTTACAGCTGGGTACCAAAATGAGGAAGAAGGCGAGGGGCCAATCCGGGACAACAGCACGGATACCACCTGAAGCATGAGACTTTCCCCCAATATTTTGACCCATGTTTCTAGAGAAGAGTACTGTTTTTGTTTTGTCCATATTTTCGCGGTGGAGTCTGGTTCATACAGCCCCTCCATCTTCAGCATTCTCCCATATGTATTGTCTCTCATCTCAGAGACACTCTAAAGCCCACTGGGCACAACAGCTTCATTCTTCACAACTCTATTGCAACACTTTCTGGGGTGCAGATTTAAACAGCATCTCCCTCCTCCAACCCACTACAAAAGCGTCATTCTGTCTACCTAAGTTAGCTTCACATCTCATTCTTTAGTTCCATCTATCCTCTACCCACTTTTTAGTGTGATGGGCTCTTCATCTTTTGGGGCAGGGAGGGGGTTTCTGCTTTTATCCCATTACAAGTGCAGGAAGAACGACGGTGGACCAAGACTTTCGAGGACGACTGGTACTCACGTCTGCATCTCCACAGCCTCCCATCTATTTGTCTCCTGTGCTCTGTGATGTCACCTGCCGTCTCCTGGAGGACTCAGGCCTCATCCTTGAGGTTTCTTCAGAGCCAGGTCACATCAGCTGCACTTTCTCTGAGGCTGTCGAGAGCTACAGGCCTGGCCTGTTGGCCTTCCTTGACTAAGTCCCACTTGGGACTTGTCTCTTCTTTATTTTCCTATGTTGAGAAATCTTAGCTGGTCTTCCCTCTCTTGTGGTCGAAAGAGACCAGATGGGTACTGTCTGGTACACCCTCTTCTCAAGCATTCTGTCCCCACCCACTTCAAAGGTGCCATCTTGCTGAATGTGGCTCACAGCAAATCTCCTTAAGCCACAGGCCCTCTCATGAGATCTGGCAATTATTCTCTGCCCTCACTGATGTCTCTCTAGAAGGGAAGGCTCAGCTTTTCAGATGGAGCATGAGCCTGATTTTCCCTCCAGGCCTCCTCTTCTACGGCTCTGCACTGTCACCTACCCATGGCCCTCAATTCTACTGTAACTCTCATGCCCAGTGAAGATCAGACAGACCCCGCAAGGGGCTGTTTAGAGAATGCTGCTTCCGGCCTCACACTGGCAGCTGGGGCAGCCTTGCAGCCTTTTCTCTCTGCTTTGATCAGGTTTCTCAGTACTCAGAGATGGGCCTATTCACCGGGAGACTAGACTTGACCAGTTCCTTGAGGTAGGGTCTTTGGTTAGATGTCATTAGTAGGAAGTCATTGCCTTGTGTAGATTCACTTCATTATGAAGGGCAGGAGCGAGTAGGTTATCCTGCTGGGCTGGAAGGTCTTAAGCCATGCATGAGTCTTCCCACGGACTGAGAGCTGAATTAAGTTAGTGCTTATTTGCAGTTTTCTGTATTGGTTTTCCTATTGGTTTCCTGGGTCATTTTGTATTTTTTTCTGGACTGAAATTAGGCAGTTCTCTTCCTTTTCACACACACACACACACACACACACACACACACACACACACACACACACACACACGTTCCCTGCTAAGTTACCTTAGGAGTTGCAGGCAGCAGGGATTTATCATTCTCACACATGAAGAAGGGTCCAGTTGTTGTAAGCAGCATGTTCACAGGCAGGGTGGTGATGTTCTTTATAGTCAAGGACTGGTAATCAGGTTCCAGGATGGTATTGGGCTTCTGCACAAGAGGAAATGGAAAAAGAAGAGACAAAGGCAAGCCACAGTAAGTCCAGTGAGCCCTGAGTTACAAGTCTCATTAGTTCTGAACAAAAACCTTAGTACCCCTCCCTTCACAGAGACATTTATTTCCCCTGGTAGAGGTTTACAGAAATGAGGTGGAATGAAGTGTGTTAGGATTCTGAAACATGAACTTACATAACCCAGAAAACAGAGAGTAGATTTCTCAGAGAGGCCCTGAGTGCTTAGTTTAAAACAAAACAAAACAAAACAAACTACTAGAGCAAACTGTCACTGCCACACTGCACACACTGTACATACTACACACTGCCACACTTCACACACTGCCACACTGCATACACTGCACATACTACACACACCGCCACACTGCACACATTGCCCATACTACACACTGCCCATACTACACACTGCCCATGCTACACACTGCCACACTGCACACACTGCCACACTGCCACATTGCACATACTGCCACACTGCACACACTGCCACATTGCACATACTGCCACACTACATACACTGCACATACTACACACACTGCCACACTGCACACACTGCCACACTATATATACTGCACATACTGCACACACTGCCCATGCTACACACTGCCACACTGCACATACTGCCACACTGCACACACTGCCACACTGCCACATTGCACATACTGCACACACTGCCACACTGCACATACTGCCACACTGCACACACTGCCACTTTGCACACACTGACACACTATATACACTGCACACACTATATACACTGCACACACTGCCACACTGCACACACTGCACATACTGCACACACTGCCACACTGCACACACTGCACATACTGCACACACTGCCACACTGCACACACTGCCACGGAACAAAGCTTAATAATCTGTGATAGCTTGAGAGAGACTTGAGGAATTATTACAACAGATAAAACATTTGGCTCTTACGTGATTTTCCCCTTTCAGTTTCAGATATGCTTATGTTGCTACATTGGCAAATCCCCATACATCTCCCCTGTAAATTTCCCCAATAGCAGAAGAGGTGATGCTGAAGCCGTCTCTCTCTCTGTGAGAGCTGCTGGACTGCATTTCTCAACCAGAGAAAGGGCCGGAATGGTTCTTGAGTGAGATGCTTTTGCTCTGGCTGGTTTTCCCCACTCTAATGTTGGGGTTTACATTCATCTTTGTGTGATCTAAAAAGGGGTACTTTAGCCTCAGGAGGAGTAACCAGAAGCCTCAACCTGTAGCCTCTAAGGTAAGAACTCTGATAATTTGGGGGTTCTTCTAATAAAAAATGTAGCCCTTAAAAAGTCTCCACATTTTGACTTGCTTTTTCTCCTCATTCTAATTTCATGACCCCCGCCCCCCACCCAACTTTCACATTTTGATCTGGCCGAGTCTTCAGCTGTTCTTACAGCCTCATCTTCCCTGCACCACGGCTCTTGGTCTTCCCAGGCCCTGCCTCCACCAGCTCCTGTGGACTGCCAAGGCTGCGTCAGAAGTCTGGCCTGGTATTTGTCATACGATGCCAGCCTTTGGTTCTCTCCCTCTACAAAGGGACACAGACATGGACCCCCTTTGCATTATCAGTTCATGGAGGCTGCCCAGAGAACTGTCCACACAGTGACCTTCCCTAAAGGCTGCTGTGTCACTGCAGATGGCTCGGAAGTGAAGAAGCCACACTTGGTTGGTTTTGGCAAGAGGCCATTCGGAGGTTAGTGATGAGAAGGAACTGAAGTCTGGAGAAACCAATCTATTTTAAAAATGACCCCTTCTTTCTGGGCTGTTTGTCTCCCAAATATCAGTAGACAGAATCTGCATCTGGAACTTCATAAGGCAAGCAGGCCGAAAGTTTCAGCTGACCTTTCCAATCCCACAGAGATGCTGTTTCATCTCCAGAGTGCATGAACAATACAAATAGCATAGAGTTGATGGAGTGGCAGGGTTTATATCTTTATATTCCAATGTACCAAATCAGACACACTGCCCTGGGCCAAGAGCAGGATGCAGAGCAGTTGTATGCTGGACAATTCAGCCTGAATGCCAAGCTTGTACATGCCGGGTAATGCGGATATATTTCTTCATCGTCTCTGATAAATTCTAATGATGGGCAGGAGATGAGCAATGGGAAACACGGTGGGGGAGAATTTAAGCTTATGATTTTGAGGAGAAAGAAGGGCAGAAACAAGTAGGAAGATCAGAGGACATCTTGCAGGAGTCATTATGTCCTTCTACTATGTGGGTCCTGGGGGGATTGAACGTGAGTCATCAGGCTTGGTGGCAAGTACCTTTACCTGGTAATGACAGTGAACCATTTCATTGACCCCAATCCACTTTTTAATCCAATGAGAAATTATTACCGCATTCAGAATTTTGCATGTTTTAATTTAGCGATCAACTCCAACAACAGACACTGAATTAAGAATCTGTTACCCCTGCGACTGGAACAATGACACTCTCCTAACTTGTGTACAGTCTTTAACCTCAACCAGTCTCTTGGCTTTGACTGTCTGTCTGGTTCACCAGATTTCCACCACCAGTACAGCCTCCAGCTTAGGACAGATGCTCTACCATGCAGATTAATGGTTTTTAGCTGATTGCTTATTCCACAGCAATCTTAGGGGCAGTGTCAGCTTCCTTATGTGTATCACAAGAATGATAATGGAGCCTACCATGGTGGGGTTTTGTGAAGGGCACCTGGACATGTAGGTAATTGAGTATGGATGCCCAGCAACAGTAATCAGTAGGCAGTAGTCATTCTTACTAATTATTATAATTGTTGCTGATTCTATTCCAACCCTTTCCCTGCAGTAGTGTTTACTTAAAGCAAAATGATGGAGTAGTTGCACACTTTCATGCATATTCTGCACCAATAGAGCCCTCCTCTTTGGTCTTATGCACCAGGAATGATGCAAACAGGATTTCCACTTCATAGAACTACAGGTTTGCTTTCAGAATTTTTAGCTAAATGTGTACTGGCCTCTGAAGCTTGAAAAGAAAATCAACACTGTCCTAGGGATGGGCAGTAACAGGATTCCCATTAGCTTAGCTTCTAACATGGAAGCACGGACTTGTTGGCTCTGGCTGGAACACTCAGGCCTCCCCGGCACAGCCTCACTGACCTTTTCCAGTCGATAGATGAGCTGCCTGGTGGAGAGCTGGATGAGAGGTGCTATGAATTCACAGATGATGTTCACGGACATCAGCAAGCTTTTTCCCTTCTGGGCTCCGACGATGGCATGGCACACCAGCTTTTCTTTGACTCTCTGCACACAACATACATCAGGGCTGTTAATGAATTCAACATTCTCATGATTTGCAAACCCACACAGGGAAGCTTTCACTGAAGCTCCAGGTGTATTTAGTTTCCTTTAGGCCAGATTTAACGCCTCTTAAAAACATGCTTAACTCTGGGTAACCACATTAGAAACATGCTCCTACTACAGATTGTGTCTTAAGATTAGGGCATATGTTATAGTCATCTTTACATCCTTAATGCCTAGAAGTGTTTATCTCAAGGCACATATACAATCAAAGTTGGCTGATGCCCCAGATGATGAGAAAAGGGAAACATTATATAAGACTCCCCAATGAGAGGCATCCTTTTTGCAGGGAGGATGTATTCTACCTGAAAATACTTGGTGAAGAAATGATGTAAAAGAAATAAGGTAGAATCTGTGACTCTAAAGAAGCTAGCAAATGGACCAGATTTCACACTTTACCTCTGGGAGACAATTTCTCATTGCTTCTTATTTTATGAAGAGGAAAATTCAGTGTCACCCTAAAAGCCTCCTAAGCAGGAGCTCAAGTAAACATCTTATCTCATTCAGAAAGTCTATGTTTGGAGATAGGAAAGACTCCTGGGTGACTAAAAAAAGTATTGGGTTTTGTTTTGTTTTGTTTTGTTTAGTTTTTGGTACTTGGTGATTTCCAAACTCCATAAAGGACTGTAATAAACAGATATACAGTGTCAGTATGCTTAAGTGTTTTAAGCTGAGTGTCTGGTACTGATGTAAACAAAACTAGAAAGTCTATTGCTAGAGATTAACATGGCTATTTTATCTACACAAAATTATATGTGTATGAATGTTTTGCCTGCATGTATATATGCATACCACATATATGCCAGGTGACTGAAGAGGCCAGAAGAGGGCGTGGAATTTCCTGGAACTAGAATTATATAGCTGGCTGTGAGCTGCCATGTGAGTACTGGGAACTGAACACAGATCCTCTGCAAGAGCAGCCAGTGCTTTTAACTGCTGAGCTACCTTTTCAGCCACCCCAAAGATGTTGTTTTTAAATATGGTATCATTTAGTCAGGCAAGGTTACAAAAAAAATCGGAGATGTGGTTATAACTGAGGCAGCCCAGAGCATCTATAAAAGTATGCTATTTTCGGGAAAAAATTAGGTAAGACTGCTAAATGTTAATAGGAAAATTTTCTTGGAATGAAAGCTGGACATTTTTCTACCAGGGACTTGCTGTCTGGTCAGTGTTGATTGTAGTAATGAGAACCGGCTTTAAATGGTCCTTTAAGGTTGGGGTTATAGTAGCTATAGAAACAAACAGAAAACTGAGCAGAGCTGAACCTTGAAAGCACGGAATGCTGCCATGGTAACTCAGTGCTATGGGTAGCCTTTGAGATAAATGTCAAGGGACCTTCCTAAGAAACAGATATAGTACAGCAGAGATTTATTTGGGAGGAAAACAGCTTCTGAACATGCTTTCCTCTTACCCTGGGAATGGCAGAATAGCCTTCAAGGATCACATCAATTGTCTGGCCTGGGTACAACTCCATCCTGACGGGATGAAGTTGAAACACAGGGCTCCCTGTATCCATGGTTTCCTGGGAGACCTGGGACTGGCGACGGCTACCAGTAGGTCCCTTCTTCACCAGTTCCTTCTTACTTTGCTTTCCCTCGGGGTGGAAGTCATCATTCATCCAGAACAGTTGCTGGACCCGTCGTCCTTTGTTAGTCAGCTTGAAGCGGTAGTAGTGGGTATCCAGGCTGGAAAAGAAGACCAGGCGTTGAGAGGATCAGAGCAGGACTGTTGGGTTTGACCTACACCCTTGAGATTCATTCTTTTGGAAGTACTATTGCGTGAGCACCAAGACATTCCTTAAAAAAAAAAAAAAAAAAAAAAAAAACATTCAAGGAGTCTCGGTCACAATGCTACTAAGAACTAGTAGTGTGATTCAAGGGCTCCAGGGGTTGAACAAAATCCGAGACTGTCCCAGAATCACCACTACTATACAAGGCTATGGGAAAGTGGCCCCTGTACCCTTTGTCCTCCTCAGCAGGTCAAGCCCACCGCAGGATACATGGACAGAGTTGATACTCTCCTTAATGAGAAGTGCTTCCAAGGTAAGGTAAAGAAAGCATAATACCAGCTGGAGGGGAAGCTCCCTTTGAAACACACTGAATACATTTCTCCTGCTGGAGACAAGCCTGGTGATGGTGCGTTTCCTTTGAAGGTCAATGCGAACAACACACACCTATTAAGTCTTGACAGGACAGAAGGGCTGGACTGAAGTAGACCAGAACACTAACTAGACTAGACACTTTCCTCAGACTATGCCCCTCATTTCTCATGCTTTCAAGTTGAACCTGTTTCATTAATTCATTCCTTCTCTATTTATGGGTACTTCTTAAAGACCTCCTTATTTGCCTAGCTCTTTATGAAGGAGGTGGGATTTCTAAAGTATATGGAAAGAAGTTAAAATTGTGTGCATGCCCCCAATTTATAGGTTTAATCAATATATTTTTCTTCAAGGGAAAAAGCTCATCTCAGGACAGGCAAGGTACTGTATGCCTGTAATACCAGCGTGTGAGAGGCTGAGGCAGAGGCTCACCATAAGTTCAAGTTAGGCTGGTCTACACAGGGAGTTCTAGATCAACCAAGGTCACCTAGTGAGACCCTCTCTGAAAAACAGCAGCAGCAGCAGCAATAACAACACAAAACAAACAGCCAACTGGTTATTTTTCTTTTAAAAACTTATTAGGCTTTGAGATTTCATCCCATTCACTTGACCGCAGGAAATGATATCGTATCTCACAAGTAAGCTGTAACATCAAATAGGTAATCAGGAGAAATAATTTTCAGTTGTCAGGGAAAAACCTTCGTCTCTAAAGATTTGTGCTCACAGGGCCTATTCAACAGAGTAATCTTCAGCCAGCAATAGAACTTTCTGGCCGATGGTAAGTTTGGGGGAGAAAAAGCAAACATATATAGTATAAATAAACTAGACCGGGCCCTTGCTGCTTCTTTACATTATGATCTTAATATCACAGAAACCCATCCATCAGAGCCATTTTAATTTCCACACTGGGAATGGAGACAAGCTCTAAATAGCTAAGAGATTTGGCCCAAAATATGCGATCAGAAGGAGTGGCGTAGGGACATTTCTTTAGTCCAGGGTCTGGCCAGCTTCCTCTGTAAAGAGATGAAGGCTAACACGGTAGAGGGACCACATGATCTCAGGCTTAACAACCCGACTCTCCTTCTTAGTGTGAAGGAGCCAGGTGTGCTGGCTGCGCGCCAACAGGACCTTCTTCATAGAAACAGGAGGTGGGCGACAGCGTGCCTGTCATGGCTTTTGCCAATTGTTTTGGTTATTGTTGGTATCGTGATTATATGTTAATAAGGAGAATAACAGGGTTTAGACAGAAGGGAAACTAATAGCCAACTACAGTTTGTTTATATATTCATAAAAACTGTTAGCTAGCCCTCAAATTCCCAGGCAAGGGTTGGCACATCCTTTTAGGGGTTATTTGACACTGTTTATAGATTCAGAAAAATCCCAAGCCATTACATATGGTGTGCCGTGTATTAAATATGGTGTTTTCTACAATGAGGTTTGTGTGCACTTAAGAAGTTTAAATGGATCAGGAGGTGGTGGTGCACGCCTTTAACCCCAGCACTCAGGAGGCAGAGGCAGGTGGATCTCTGTGAGTTTGAGGCTAGCCTGGTCTATAGAGTTACTTCCAGGACACTCAGGGTTATGCAGAGAAACCCTGTCTCAAAAACAAACAAACAAACAAACAAACAAACAAACAAAAACCAAACAAAAACCAAAAACCACCAAGCAAACAAACAAACAAAAACCAAAACCAAAACCAACCAAACAAACAAAACAAAATAAAACAAAAAGTTTAAGTAGAAGCATTAGCATACAGTGACAAATGCCTTTCCTTCTGGCCAAGAGACAAAACAGAGAGGAAGCTTTTTATATGTACCTGACTCACAAACATGTAACTGGACACGTGTCAAACACACAGTTCAACTCCCTGGGTTGTCCCTTACTTTGTTATTGCTTGTGGTATTTTTCAATTAAGAACTAAGGGGTGGGTGGGATTGTGGGAATGACTTCTCAGAACATAATGCATATGAGTTGGGTTCAGGGACTGTTAGATCAGAAGGCCAGAGGAGCAGCCATGAGGTGTGTTCCCACGGCGGCACTGAGCAGCACAAATCAGTCAAACCCTGGAAGTCAACTACTGATAACTGCAGAATGCCCCTGTGGAACCAGGGGCCTCCCTCTACTGCCTTGTACTGAGGCCATATTCAGACCCTCAGCTTTTTCTGGGCAGCCGGGGAAACAGTTGTGACTCAACCACTGGAGCTATGATGAGGAAGCAAACAGACGAAATACGATCCATAAAATCAGTAGCGGCAATATATCTGTAATGACTTACCTTTCGAAGTAAGCTCTACTCAGATTACACTAAAGCTGTATCAGTGTTTTTTACATTTGTGGAGAGGGATTAGAAGTGTATTGAAGTCAGAGGAGAAATTATGCAGAAATTCTCAATCCCTCATAAAGGAGTCACCACCCCTTTCACCAGAGTAGGGGGACCTAGTCTAGAGAATGCAAGCAAGTGTCCCAGTTAGCATTACACAGCCTAGAATGGTATGAAAAAAAAAAAACAACCAAAAAAACAACAGAGTCTTGATTAAGCAATCACCTTTATCAGGGTGGTCTGTGGGCATGTCTCTAGGGGATAGTCTTGATTAGTAATAGATGTCAGAGGGTCCAGCCAGCCCACTGTGGGTGTTACTATTCCCTGGGCAGGTGATCCTGAGCTGTGTGAGGAAACTAGCTGAGCAAGAGTGTGGGAGTCTGAGAGCCAGCAAGCAGCATCCCTCCATGGCTCCTGCCTTTGAGTTCCTGTTTTGAGTCCTGACTTCTCTCAAACGATGCACTGTGATAGGGAAGTGCCAGATGAAATAAACCCTCTCCCAAGTTGTTTTTGGTCAGAGTGTTTTCTCACAGCAACAGAAAGGAAACCAGAGCACAGGGTGATGACTTGGAAATGTCTTCTCGTAGCAAATGCAACCAAGCTGTGACTGGAAAATGTCCAGCGTGTTCATCAAGGAAGGAGAAAGTGAGAGTGGGACAGGAGAGGGATGAGGGGGAGCTAGTTCTTTTAAATGAAGACTGTGACATATGTAATTATCTGCACAACTGATCCATGATATCCCCCCCCCCCTACCTAAAATGTGCTCCCAGGTTGAGTTCTGGAGCAAAGGGCTTGTCGGACACGATGGTGGAACCAATCCCTGTGGCCTGGATAGGGATCCGATAGGTGTTGCTGTGCTCCACCTCCAGAATGACGGTGTCTTTGAATGTCACTATGTCGTCCAGGTTGGCAGTCAGGGTCAGTGGGAAGTCATCTTCTGCAGGAACCATGCCCTTGCTGGGTTTGACCGTCCAAAGGGATTTTTTCTTTGCCTGCAACACAAGACTACAAGTTAGCTGGACAGATGCTCTTGGCTCCTCATCTTGCTTATGCCAAAGCCTTCTGCTTCAAACAGCCTGCGCGATAGAAGCCAACATCAGAGACAAACATTCTACTCCTTTTAGAATCAAAGAAGCTGCATGTTTGTTGACTTCCTTTTTCAAAAAGTGGCCCGAGTCTGAAGAGCAAGGCTGCCCTTCAGCTTTGGAACGCTCTGTGAAGATGCGTCGTGTCTCTTCCCTATGATGACAACTTAGGTCTCTAACAAGCTTCCCCTAATTACCTGCTCTAACCTCACAATGCCGAGATGCCAATGGAAGGGCCAGCATCCCTTCTGGAATTTTCAGAGAAATGCTTCTAAGAGGAGAATTTTTAGAATTTGTAGAATTAGAATAAAGATAAGCATCCTTTTCAGGAAGTAATCCTGGCTTTTACTGTGTTTTTATAATAATTAAAATAATTCCATTAGCTAAAATCCTAAGTTCATTTTGAAATCCATTACAAGGCTGATTCAGAGCTGGAAGTGACGCCTATCAGTTTATTGACTGCTTAGATAGTCATGGCACACCGATTTTCCTTCCCCAAAGTCTTTGTCAAAGCCAGTGCCTGTTAATGCCTATTCTGACCATTGCACTGGAAATGGCCAACCCATCTTAGCATTCCTGGCCACTTTCACCTTGGTCTAGGTTTTCCTTCCTTAGCACTCCTGGTGTTCTAACACAGTACATGGCTTACTTATCATATTTATTGTCTTTCCTGCATTGTGATGCAAGCTCTACATAGGAGGGGGTTTGTCGTTTGTTTGTGTATTTGGGTTGGTTTTTTTTTTTTTCAGAAATATATCCCAAGTATCTATAGCAAGATATAGTACATGGCTAGACTACATGTACAATACAGTATATATAGCAGACACTTAATAGCTATTTAACAAATGAAGCCAGGTACAGTGGTACATACCTTTAATCTCAGCACTTGGGAGTGGGAGGCAGGGGGAATCCCAAGTTCAAGGCCAGCTTGAGCTACATAGCAAGATCCTGAATAAAAAGTAAAACAAAAGTTGGGTTTATCAATCAGTCTTTTATTCAAACTCCTTTTGATGTTAGTGTGTTCACTTCTTATATAGGATAATTTATTTACTTCAGTGTAGATGTAATTCTGAATGGTTTTATTAAATAAGAAACACAGAGCCAGCCGGGCGGTGGTGGCACACGCCTTTAATCCCAGCACTCGGGTGGGAGGAGGCGGGCAAGAGGCAGGCGGATCTCTGTGAGTTCAAGGCCAGCCTGGTCTACAGAGTGAGATCCAGGAAAGGCACAAAGCTACACAGAGAAACTCTGGCTCGGAAAAAAAAAAGAAAGAAAGAAAGAAAGAAAGAAAGAAAGAAAGAAAGAAAGAAAGAAAGAAAG